TTAGTGGTAGGCCAAACCGGAGCATGCGGAGAAAACCTACGCAGCAGCAGGGAGAACATGCAAACTCCACTGAGATAGCCCTGTCTGGAGGTGCACCGATCCCACAGCTAATAATAATAATGATTATAGCAATACATTTTATTTCTTAGTCGCCTTTCTAGATACTCAAGGTCGCCATACATCACAAGAGAAACTGCATTTAGTTCAAATACAAGTTACTTTTATATGAGTGTTTTCTGCTTTAAAGCTGGGATATGTGACTTTCAAGCCAGCTGTGTACTGAAAATCACTAGTTCCAGGGTTTCTAATGAAGCTTTTAGCATTTTACTTTGGACCAGAGCAGAGAAAATGGTCTAAATCAAGCCGTTTTTTCAGGACTCCCTGGTTCTATTACAGTTTTTTTTAAGTTGCTTTGGTGCATTTCTCACATCACTATAAACATTTGCACAACAGAATTGCACAAAATGTTGATTCCTCAAAAGCAAGTATTAATGTCAATGAAACTGTTTCTCAAAAATAAGTCCTGACACCAGTATTTATGAACAACACAATAGATGGCAGTGTCATGTTTCCATTGTGACACTTTACTCTCTCTGTGTTTTCAACGCTAAAAGTCACATCTTTCATACAATTCTCTGCCGTTTAATAACAATATCGTTTGCTTCTGTCCTGTCAGTCAAAATGAAACATCATTTTGAAGCTGAAGAGTCATTCCCTAAAAAACTACTAGTCCTCATTTAATTGCTTGAGTCATCACAAACAAAAGTGTTGAACTCGTGTCAAAAAGAAGCTGTGTTGTAGACAAATATGTGACAGACGGACATAAAGGCGAGGCAGTCCAGGAATAATGTATGCTCAGTGTACAGTAATATGTGCTGTTATATACATACACACAAACATACAAACATACATACACAACATATGTGTCCTGTACTCTAAATGCACTCATATGTAACTTTAACGTAGTTTTCAGCTCTACAGTGCATAGTGATGTCTTGAGCATTTTCAGGTAGTGACTTTTTTGCATTGAAAACACAGAGAGAGAAAACTGTCAGGATTCTTCTGTATTATAGGCCTCAAACCAAATGGTTGAGCTGCAGCCTGAAGGTTAAAGGGCCTCAAACCAAACGGTTGAGCTGCAGCCTGAAGGTTAAAGGGCCTCAAACCAAATGGATGAGCTGCAGCCTGAAGGTTAAAGGGCCTCAAACCAAACGGTTGAGCTGCAGCCTGAAGGTTAAAGGGCCTCAAACCAAATGGATGAGCTGCAGCCTGAAGGTTAAAGGGCCTCAAACCAAACGGTTGAGCTGCAGCCTGAAGGTTAAAGGGCCTCAAACCAAATGGATGAGCTGCAGCCTGAAGGTTAAAGGGCCTCAAACCAAACGGTTGAGCTGCAGCCTGATGGTTAAAGGGCCTCAAACCAAACGGTTGAGCTGCAGCTTGAAGGTTAAAGGGCCTCAAACTGAGTGAGAGATGTTGAAATAGAGTCTAGGAAGTGATCCACCAAATGTTTGAGGAAAACATTAAAAATATTCCATAAATGTCATCCTTGGAATGAGAAAATACAACAATTCTTGAAATCAGACTAAATGGCTTTGACCCATTGGAGAATCTGGTTTAAAAACAGTCAGAATGTGCTCGGATCAAAATAAAAAAAAATTACCTCATATTTCATCACTTTTTACAAATGTAGAAATTTTAGTCCTTCCATTTTTGTTGTTGTGTGTGCGTGCGTATTGTGTGCATACGTGTGTGTGTGTTGTGTGCGTGTGTGTGTTATGCCCGCGTGTGTGTTGTCCGTGCATGTGTGTTGTACATGCGTGTGTGTGTGTGTTGTACCTGCATGTGTGTGCGTGTGTTATGAGTGCATGTGTGCGTGCATGCGTGTGTGTTGTGTGTGTGTGTTGTACATGCGTGGATGTGTGTGTGAGCGTATTGTGTATTGTGCGTGTGCATGTTGTGAGTGCACGTGCGTTCGTGTCTGTGTGTTGTGCATGCGTGTGTGTGTGTTGTGAGTGAGTGTGCGTTTGTGTGTGTGTATTGTGTGAGTGTTGTGGTTCCAGAGCAGGTTTAAAAGCCCCAAACCTCATACAATAAATAACAGACACATTGAGTCCAGTGCAGAGAGCGCAGCTTATTGATTGACTGCGGAACCTTCCGCAGTCAACCATTGGTTTTGTATTTCTTTATTCCGTCATTTTTTTTGACACGTTTCACAGCTTTCACATTTTCAACAATTTCCACAAGTTATACATCAAAACGTTCCACATGTTTGGGAGATTATTGCTATTACTTTTGGGACTTCAGCGATTTCCGGTTTTTCCGCAATCGGACAAAAATCTGCATTGAGAATTCTGCAATGCATTTTAATAGGCCCATGCATTTTAATAGGACTTCAGCTCTTTCAGACATTTCTACAGTTTCAATGATTCAACAGTTTCAAGGATTCAACAGTTTCAAGGATTTCAGCAGTTTCAAGATTTCAAGAGTTTCAAGGACTTCAACAGTTTCAAGGACTTCAGCAGTTTCAAGGACTTCAGCAGTTTCAAGGACTTCAGCAGTTTCAAGGACTTCAGTGTAATCATGCAACCTAATAGGGATTTTTCCATGTAAACCAGTATAATGCAACTTAATAGGGATTTTTCCATGTAAACCAGTATAATGCAACTTAATAGGGTTTTTTCATGTAAACCAGTATAATGCAACTTAATAGGGTTTTTTTTCATGTAAACCAGTATAATGCAACTTAATGGGGATTTTTCCATGTAAACCAGTATAATGCAACTTAATAGGGGTTTTTACATGTAAACCAGTATAATGCAACTTAATAGGGTTTTTTCCATGTAAACCAGTATAATGCAACTTAATAGGGTTTTTTCCATGTAAACCAGTATAATGCAACTTAATAGGGTTTTTTCCATGTAAACCAGTACAATGCAACTTAATAGGGATTTTTCCATGTAAACCAGTATAATGCAACTTAATAGGGTTTTTTACATGTAAACCAGTATAATGCAACTTAATGGGGATTTTTCCATGTAAACCAGTATTATGCAACTTAATAGGGATTTTTCCATGTAAACCAGTATAATGCAACTTAATAGGGTTTTTTCATGTAAACCAGTATAATGCAACTTAATAGGGTTTTTTTTCATGTAAACCAGTATAATGCAACTTAATGGGGATTTTTCCATGTAAACCAGTATAATGCAACTTAATAGGGGTTTTTACATGTAAACCAGTATAATGCAACTTAATAGGGTTTTTTCCATGTAAACCAGTATAATGCAACTTAATAGGGTTTTTTCCATGTAAACCAGTATAATGCAACTTAATAGGGTTTTTTCCATGTAAACCAGTACAATGCAACTTAATAGGGATTTTTCCATGTAAACCAGTATAATGCAACTTAATAGGGTTTTTTACATGTAAACCAGTATAATGCAACTTAATGGGGATTTTTCCATGTAAACCAGTATTATGCAACTTAATAGGGATTTTTCCATGTAAACCAGTATAATGCAACTTAATAGGGATTTTTCCTTGTAAACCAGTATAATGCAACTTAATAGGGTTTTTTTCATGTAAACCAGTATAATGCAACTTAATGGGGATTTTTCCATGTAAACCAGTATTATGCAACTTAATAGGGATTTTTCCATGTAAACCAGTATAATGCAACTTAATAGGGTTTTTACATGTAAACCAGTATAATGGAACTTAATAGGGGTTTTTACATGTAAACCAGTATAATGGAACTTAATAGGGGTTTTTACATGTAAACCAGTATAATGCAACTTAATAAGGATTTTTACATGTAAACCACTATAATGTAACCTAATAGGGGTTTTTACATGTAAACCAGTATAAAGCAACTTAATAGGGATTTGTACATGTAAACCAGTATAATGCAACCTAATAGGGATTTTTCCATGTAAACCAGTATAATGCAACTTAATAGAGATTTTTCCATGTAAACCAGTATAATGCAACTTAATAGGGATTTTTCCATGTAAACCAGTATAATGCAACCTAATAGGGATTTTTCCATGTAAACCAGTATAATGCAACCTAATAGGGATTTTTCCATGTAAACCAGTATAATGCAACCTAATAGGTTGCATTATACCACCAGACCAAGACCCAAACGAAGACTCAGACCACCACCAGATAATGACCACAGACCAGGTTTCCTTAGTTACAGGAACCAAATTGTTTCAGCGGTGAGGGGATTTTTCAGTTTCAAGGACACTTTCAATACATTCAGTAGTTTCAAGGATTTCAACTGTTTAAGAATTTAACCAGTTTCAAGGATATCAGGAGGTTCAAGGATTTCAGGAGTTTCCACACTTTCAACAGTTTCCAGGTTTAAAAAAAGTTTCAAGGATTTCAGGAGTTTCAATGTTTCAACAGTTTCAAGGATTTCAGGAGTTTAAAGGTTTCAACAATTTCAAGGACTTCAGGAGTTTCAAATATCTATCAAGTATTTTAACAGTTTCAAGGCCTTTTAAAGGATTTCAAGGATTTTTTTTAGCAGATTTCCACATTAGATCTGTTCCGCAGTCAATCGCAATGGCTTCAGCCATTGCAAGTTTCTAGTTTATAAAGGTGTCACTAGTGTTTAGGGTCCTTTAAACACGGACCAGCTCCAAATCCAATCACACCTCTGCAGGAACCCCAGCCCTCTCTGTGAGCTGCATTTCAATCACCAGCGTCTGTGCGGCCTTTCAACAACTGGGTTTAAAGCTCAGGTACCTAACTTCAAACCACAGAAAACGTAACGACATAATCTGTAAAAGCATCCACTCGTCCCTTGCTCTAAAAACAACTTGGTTCTATCATTCATTTTCACATGTATGGTTATATGTTTTTTATTTTTTACCTCTGTCACATCATTAGACCAGCTTGTTGTGTCTGCACAGGTTTCCTCCAGGTGCTCCGGTTTCCTACAGGTGCTCCAGTTCCCTCCAGGTGCTCCGGTTTTCTCCAGGTGCTCCGATTTCCTACAGGTGCTCCGGTTTCCTCCAGGTGCTCCGATTTCTTCCAGGTGCTCCGATTTCCTCCAGGTGCTCCGGTTTCCTACAGGTGCTCCGGTTTCCTACAGGTGCTCCAATTTCCTCCAGGTGCTTCGGTTTCCTACAGGTTCTCCGGTTTCCTCCAGGTGCTCCGGTTTCCTCCAGGTGCTCCGATTTCCTCCAGGTGCTCCGGTTTTCTCCAGGTGCTCCGATTTCCTCCAGGTGCTTCGGTTTCCTACAGGTTCTCCGGTTTCCTCCAGGTGCTCCGGTTTCCTCCAGGTGCTTTGATTTCCTCCAGGTGCTCCGGTTTTCTCCAGGTGCTCTGATTTCCTCCAGGTGCTCCGGTTTGCTACAGGTGCTCCAGTTTCCTCCAGGTGCTCCGGTTTCCTACAGGTGATCCGGTTTCCTCCAGGTGCTCCGGTTTCCTACAGGTGATCCGGTTTCCTCCAGGTGCTCCGGTTTCCTAGAGATGCTCCGGTTTCCTCCAGGTGCTCCGGTTTCCTCCAGGTGCTCCGGTTTCCTCCAGCTAAAAATATGTAGAATAGGTCTTATAGGGAGTGATTTTGAAAGCTGCTGGTTCAGGAACTAGTTATTTTTAGTACATTAGCTAAAAAAACATTGTTTGGTGCCTTATGGCCAAAGTTGGGTATAGAAAAATAAGTGAAAAAGAGAGGACCCCGCTCTCCCGCTCTCAGTCCAAAAGTCGAACAGTGAAGTCTGTAAAATATACTAAATGTATTATTTATGAGAAGAAAACCAAGCTTTAAGTAAAGTAGGCACCATTCTGCATTTATTTAAAGCAGTAGTGGCTCAGGACGGTTAGGGGTAAAAGCAGGGTCTGGATAAAGAAAGGGTGAAGCTGGTGAAGAAAAGTGAGATATTTTGTATCGCTGGGATCGGCTTTTTAATCATAAATAATACATGTTGTTTCGGCCACAGAAACGAACCCAAAAAAATAAAAAGGCATGAAATAGGCCACAACAACAGACTGTGTCCATGTTAAGTCTAACATTTACGGACATTTATCAACACGGACATTGGTCTCTCCCTATGGACCATGTGGTCTATATGTTTGTGTTTTTTTATTGTACATAATTGTTTCCTACACAGACTATATTTTTAACCTTAACATGTTGCACATTTCTGTCTTTTTGCACATTCTGAGTTACACTTAACCCCACTTTGCCTGAAGCCCCCGCTGAAAGATCTCAGCTCCATGTGGACTCACCCCCTGCAGGAGGATCAGTGAGGGGCTGGTGCCATGTGTACTGGGTGCAGCTCTGACTACCCCCCCCCCCCCCCCCCCCCGACCCATAAATGGATTAAGGGGAAGATGGATGGATGGATGGATGGATGGATTATCTGAACTGTTTGATTCTCTGATCTGTGTCTGTGTTGGTGATTTTAACAGTTTTGTGGGAGCACTTGAAAATTAACCATAAATCATATTGGATCTTGACGAGGTTCAAAGTAAAGCTTCAGTCTGTGACAGTAAACAGCAGACTCAACAGAGAAGAACCAGAGACACACACAACGGAGACAAAACAGAGACACAAAAAAGACACAACGGAGACAAAACAGAGACACAACAGAGACGCACCAGCGGCAAATGTCCCTCTCCGTCCCTCGCACATGGTCTGATGGTCCGGTCCACTTTACGCACGCACGCCTCTCTCTTACTACGCGCGCACTCACCATCGCGCACCCTCCACCGCGGCTCCATTCTCTCCGCGCTGCGCCTGGAGGAGGAGGTGCTGGGACTGAGGCCGGGGCCACACCGCCTGCGTGCGAAGCGCTGCGTAGCTGGCAACCGTTGATTTTTTACTTAGCTCTAATTGAAGCGGATTGGAAGTGGCCACACTGTCCGCGCATACCACGCGCGAGGCACAGCGCGCTAGTGGCGCCACGCGTTGAGAAGATAGAATCAATCCTATTTTTGGGGGCGTGCGTCAAGCGCTCGTCTAGTGTCCCGAAGGAAAGACTTCTAAAATTGATGAAATATTATAATTCTGACATATACATGGGCATATAACTTTGTTCGTAGTCTAAACTAAACAGCTAGCAGGAGAATGACATTTTAGACAATATCAATAAAACTTCATTGATATAAATATTTGTATTAATTTATTTATAAAACGCTTTTCATAGGCTACAACATAACATTCAAAGTGCTTTACAGATTACCCATTTCTTTGATCACAAGAGGTCTTGTCAGCACCAAGAAATCAAGTCCACACAGCACTGGTAACTGAACAAGGAGTGAAAATGTTTTACCTGTACTCACTCCTTAGCTTCTTTGTTTCAACAGACTACTTCCTATTGGTTAATCAAGTTCCACACAGAGATACAGCCTACTACTTAACAAAGGACCAAAAGACTCAACATCCCCCAAAGCAACTTCGGTGTGAACATATGCAAATTTGTGTAGGGAAGGATTGGGAGGTCCTAACGCAACAGATTCAGGGTTACTTGGAACATTATGAATACATACAAGGCCAAGACATTCATATCCAGCATTAGGACACTGCACACCTTTTGAGACTTTTTACACAGTCTATGTTGATAGTACGCATGGTCAATGTTGCATCTGTACAAAAGGTGGATTTCCATGACAACAGTAAACAACTTTCCCGAACTGTGTTGTAATTACATTTAGTTAATAAATCACCGTTCAATAGTCACTCAAACAATGTTAATACAGGACGAAAGCGAGCGTTGTGATATTATATAAATTAGATATGCCATATTTCATAAATGTGCATTGATTTGAAAGGAAGCCTGTTCTCCTTTGTGGGGCGGTACAACGCTGCTGCTGCTGCTGCTGGTGTGGCCACTCTTGCGTCATCGCCCCACTCTGTTGACGAACGCAAGCAACGCGTTACTTCGCACGCCGGCGGTGTGGCCCCTACGTGAGGGAGGAAGCATGGATAACGAGCCACGGAACTCCCACTTCCAGTCTCTATAGTCTCCACACACCATCAGCAGCAGCAGCAGCAGGAGGAGGAGGAGGACCAGCAGAAGGACCAACAGCAGAAGGAGGGGAGCGCATTCAGAAGCGTTTTGGATTTTGCTTTTCCACTGGGATTAAGAGCGATGCGCGCAGGAGCCGATGTTTGAGCAGCTTTGGAGGCAGGTTTCATTCATTCTTTTACCATAAACAGCAGAAAATGATAAATACAGTCACGTTTAGGATCAATTACATTTATCCTTTTCTTCCATGTGTGACAAGGATAGATGTAGTTGTTTTTGTAACAGAGGAGAGTTCACTTATTTAAAGCCACAATAAAAGCCTGAATTCAGTCAACAAATGCACCTGTGTAATGAATCAGTAAAGCGTCTTCATGAATAGTTTTTGTATCTGGATATTAGTAATGAAAAAAGCAGTTTGAGTCTAATTTCCAACACTTTTTCTCATCATGTGACCGCTGCGTGTCTTCGTTTACGTTCAAGTGAAACACATGGTGAGAAAACAAAATATTAACTTTGTATTTGATCATTTTTGCGCAGAGTAAAACGTGAAGTTATAAGGTGTCAGAGATTTGTCAGAAACATCTTGAGACGAGCGCTTTAAATCAAAGTTCTTCAAGTAAATTGGCACAAAATGAAATGTGGAGACGTCCTTACTTTTTACGGAGTGAGTCAAACACGATTCTTTCTTGTTTGATCTGTAAATGTATAGAGTTAAAATAATATATATATACTGGGTCTTCTTTGCTTGAAACGTGACTAAAGCTGCTCGCTCTGATGCCAAAATCTATTTACTCAAAAACAGGTAAATTACACGTTATATATTTTTACAGTGTGAAATTGTAATCTTGCGTTGCTTAGGTGCATATGAAAATGTGTTTCAGTTATCAAGTAAAATCTGCTCAGCAAAAAAAACAATATATTTTAATTCAAGCAAATTTAACGGATCTAATAACATACAAGCTCTTTCCCACTTGAAACGAGAAAAAAGCAATTGAGCTTAGAATCAATCTTTCAAGCAAAATATTAAAGCTGCGGTACCAACCTTTCAACTTTTTTTCTGTAATATTTAATATCCATTTCACTAGGTCCTGGCTCTAAAACAGTCTAGTTTATCATTAGTTTTCACGTGTGTTTGGTCTCGGTCACATTTTTAGATCAACTTTTTTAGAAAAAAAGGAAAAAGAAAGAGAACTAACCTCACTCAGCAATTTTACTGTTACATTTGAAACAACCAAAGCGAGGTACCTCAGCTTTAACTGTGTGTCCTGTGTCTTTGTTTTGTGTTGATTTGATTGGGTCTAGAGGAGTTTTTAGATGGTTTTTCCTCCTATTGTAACTGAATCATGTTTGAGAGTGTGCATTTGTGGTGGCTTCGTTGTGAAAGAGACCAGAGAGAGACCAGAGAGAGACCAGAGAGAGAGACCAGAGAGAGACCAGAGAGAGACCAGAGAGAGACCAGAGAGAGACCAGAGAGAGACCAGAGAGAGACCTGAGAGAGACCCGAGAGAGACCAGAGAGAGACCAGAGAGAGACCAGAGAGAGACCTGAGAGAGACCAGAGAGAGACCAGAGAGAGACCTGAGAGAGACCAGAGAGAGACCAGAGAGAGACCAGAGAGAGACCTGAGAGAGACCAGAGAGAGACCAGAGAGTGACCTGAGAGAGACCAGAGAGAGGGACCAGAGAGAGACCTGAGAGAGACCAGAGAGTGACCTGAGAGAGACCAGAGAGTGACCTGAGAGAGACCTGAGAGAGAGACCAGAGAGAGGCCAGAGAGAGACCTGAGAGAGACCAGAGAGAGACCAGAGAGAGACCAGAGAGAGACCAGAGAGAGACCTGAGAGAGACCAGAGAGAGAGACCAGAGAGTGACCTGAGAGAGACCAGAGAGAGGGACCAGAGAGAGACCTGAGAGAGACCAGAGAGTGACCTGAGAGAGACCAGAGAGAGACCAGAGAGTGACCTGAGAGAGACCAGAGAGAGACCAGAGAGAGAGACCAGAGAGAGACCAGAGAGAGAGAGACCATATTTACAGCTTCATGTTTGGTTTAATGTTGTAAATGTTGTGAATGATGGGAGTCTCTGGTCTGTGTCTGAGTGAACAGTGGAGGCAGAAGTTAAGGATCCCCTCGGGCCGGAGTGGTCTGTTTCACCCAGGTATCAGTGAGGAGGGGGAGACCAGAGAGGAATCAGAGAGAGAAAGAGAGAGACCAGAAAGAGATCTCAGAGAAAGGCCAGAGAGAGAGAGAGAGAGAGAGAGAGAGAGAGAGAGAGATCAGAGTGAAGAGAAATAAGAAAGGGAGAGAGAGAGAGAGATCAGAGAGAGAAATAGGAGAGAAAGAGAGATAGAGGGAGAGAGAAATAAGAGAGAGAGAGAGAGAGATAAATCAGAGAGGGAGAGAGAGAGAGAAAGAAAGAGAGAGAGACAGACATCAGAGAGAGAAATCAGAGAGGGAGAGAGAGAGTGAGAGAGAGAGAGAGAGCGAGAGAGAGATCAGAGTGAAGAGAAATAAGAGAGATAGAGAGAGAGAAAAATTAGAGAGGGAGAGAGAGCGAGAGAGAGAGAAATCAGAGAGGGAGAGAGAGAGAGAGTGAGAGAGAGAGAAGGGGGGAGAGAGAGAGTGAGAGAGAGGGGGGGGAAGGAGAGAGAGTGAGAGAGAGAGAGAGAGCAAGAGAGAGAGAGGGGGGGAGAGAGAGAGAGTGAGAGAGAGAGAGAGAGCAAGAGAGAGAGAAGGGGGGAGAGAGAGAGAGTGAGAGAGAGAGAGAGGGGGAGAGAGACCAGACAGAGAGAGACACCAGAGTCAAAAATCTGTGAGAGAAGACTGGACTTTCGTTGCAAATATGTAGAAAGTTAAATGTAAAAGCTTCAAATACAATACAAAGGTAATTAAGTTGTAAAAACGTCTTTACAATCTGCGTCTTATGAAAATAACCGTATAAACCATGGAGAAAGCCATTTGACCGGAGAAGTGACAGTATGACCCTAGTTTGAGGATTTGTGAATGACAGAACTGTGACAGCCTTTGAAATGACGTGTGCCTTTAGTGTTTTTTCAAATAAATGAATTCATTCAATTAAAAATATGATTATATATGAATCCAAAAGCTGCAGTGACCAGTTGGATATGTCAGAGTAAAGGACTGAAAAATGATATACCCTACATTTCAGACAATGGTCTCTCTCTGGTCTCTCTCTGGTCTCTCTCTGGTCTCTCTCTGGTCGCTCTCAGGTCACTCTCAGGTCACTCTCAGGTCACTCTCTGGTCTCTCTCTGGTCGCTCTCAGGTCACTCTCAGGTCACTCTCTGGTCGCTCTCTGGTTGCTCTCTGGTCTCTCTCTGGTCGCTCTCTGGTTGCTCTCTGGTCTCTCTCTGGTCTCTCTCTGGTCTCTCTCTGGTCGCTCTCTGGTTGCTCTCTCTCTCTGGTCTCTCTCTGGTCTCTCTCTGGTCGCTCTCTGGTTGCTCTCTGGTCTCTCTCTGGTCTCTCTCTGGTCTCTCTCTGGTCTCTCTCTGGTCTCTCTCTGGTCTCTCTCTGGTCTCTCTCAGGTCTCTCTCTGGTCGCTCTCTAGTCGCTCTCTAGTCGCTCTTTCTTGTCTCTTTCTCTGGTTGCTCTTTGGTCTCTCTCTCCCCCTCTCTCCCTGTGTGTGTGAGGGTGTCACAGCCCTAACACTGAAACGCTGCTGTTTTTCAGATTTCGCTTATAAAAGAGCGACCACTCTAGTGCAGTGCCCATGGATCTATAATAATAACTGGATAGGGTATTACTAGCTTATAGCTGTCCCACCCACGGGCACAGGAGGCGCCCGTGGTACTGCAGACTAACTTCACGTGGGCTACACAGAAGAATGTCCCATAGAAGTCAAAGTAAACTAAAACAGCTTGATTGATTTGAATAGGGCGCCATCTTGGATCACCGGGGCTTGAGCAGTGCCCCACGGTCAGAAATATCCATACTTTTAAAAATGAAATAGGCAAGGCAAGTTTATTATCGTACATACACAAGGAAACTCAAAGTGCTGAACTAAACAACATAGAAACAATCACACAAGCTATTAGAATCATAACTAACCACAATGTATTTAAAAGACTACAGGTACAATCCTTCATTTGTTGCAGCTAAACAGAACTGTTTTTAACCTGGATTTGAACATTGTCAGAGCAGAAACCTGTCTTACATTTTCAGGAAGACTGTTTTAGATTTTAGCATAAATCTGAAATGCTGCCTTCCCATGTTTAGTCCTGCCTCAGAGTCCCAGCAGGAGTCCAGTCCCTGTGCTCCTCAGAGTCCCAGCTAGAAATACGGTTTGAGTCCCTGATAACAGCATTAGCATTATCATACAGACTGATAGCATAGAGCTGCCCACAGACTTGAAGAATGCTCTGGTGAAGGACTGGCTTTTCATTGTTCAGAGATCCTGAATCGTGGCGTTTCTCACCCAAACCCTGGTCTCTCATCCCGTATTGTTCGTCCCTCTGGTTCCTCTGGTCCATCCCTCGCAGCACGATTCTGAAATTCTCGTCTCCAGACACAGTGGTCCAGTGTTTCCCCGTGTGTAGGCGTGATCCCAGCGCCGTGGTCAGTCTAGACGCTCGGCAGCTGCTCGTAATTCTATCAAAGTGGATATTAACCAGAACACAGAGACCTCTCCACTGTCTGCACCAGTCTCTCTGCTGCTGCCGACTTCAGAACCGCACTTTATTACAAAACAAAACCACACAATATGGATGGATACAGCACACACTCCTGACGAAGGAGGGTTGAAAACATTTAGCACTTTTCTAATTTATTTATAATTTGGAGGAGCAGTAATAACTCCAAAATATTGTGGGGTTTTGTTCAATATTTTTTTTTTACCTCGGGTTTTTTCATTATAGGCCTTTCCCAAATAGTTGTGAAAGGCCTATAATGGCACTTATAGGCACTTTTACCATCAAGTGACCTGGTAAAAGCACCTCATCAAGGTACATGCGCCTCCGGTACTGGCCCCGCTCCCATCTCAGTGTGGAGTGAGAGGACAAATGCCCAAAAAAATAACAATTGTAAACCGCTTTGTGACTCTGGTCTGTGAAAGGCGGTATATAAAAAAGATCACTTACTTACTTACTACTTACTAAAAGGGCCTATAAGTGCCGTTATAGACTTTTCACAACTATTTATCACAACCAAGTGATAGAGATGCAACAATGAGTGAGATTTCAGTTCAAAGCTTCATGTACATACAGAGACCCAAAAAACTGTCCACCAAACGATTGAGGAAGCCATCAAAGGGTTAAAGGGCACGGAATACTTTCATTTAAAAATACATATAGATCTTTTATATGTGTCTTCCGAGATTATGTCACATGTAAAAGTCAATCAGAGAGCATACGTAACAAGTCAGTCATTATGGTTGTTGGTTTGTTAGGTGAAATTGACCTGGTTTTGGCTCTGGCTCTTTTTATCATAATAAAAATAAAAATCCATTGGCTTTATATAGACACTACACAGGTCCTTATTCATCACACGGTGGTGATAAACTACTACTGTAGCCACAGCTGCCCTGCGGCACACTGACAGAAGCGAGGCAACCAGTCTCCAACCACCACCAACCATTCACACACACACCAGACTCATTCTGATGTGGGTGAAGTGTCTTGCCTAAGGACACCACCACAGTTTGGCACTTTACAGCCGCAGCCGCCCCACTGTGGCACCTGCGGCACAAATAAGTGGTCATATGAAATTTAAGGACATCCATTAACATCTCTTGAACGGTTTGATTCTCTGATCTGTGTTTTGGCAAATCGACAGTTTTGTGAAGTCCTCCGAGATGCCTACTGTTGTGATTTAGGACGACACGTAAAAAAATTGAATTGAATAAAGTTTAATATGAAATTCAGGAGCTACGTGTGTCATAGTACGAAGATTCTGGCAGCAACAGTTTGATTGTAATCACTTTATTAGACCATTAAAGCTCACATACGGCCCCTTTAAAGCTATCCTTTTATGGCCCCTTTAAACCTTTACCAGTGAGTGCATCGTAAACACACACCAACTACACACAAGTCAAATAAAAAGACTTTTACTATTGGAAACTTGTCGGCAAAAGCTATTCTTGTCACTTGTTTCATTCCCACTGAGAGTCTCTTTTTCCTTCCACTCTGAGAGACACAGGCTGCTGTGTCAGAACGACTCGGCATCCAACCCGCCTTGCGTTTTATTCTTTTTGCTGAGCCGTGTTCGGTAATTTACACACAATAAAAGCAGAATGTTTTTCAGGCCGTTGCAAACAGGTGGCTCTAGTTACGAAGGTCCTAAAATTACACATGTCAGACCAGGGACAATACTTTGCATAATGACAGCGAGCCGTGGAGCTGTGTTTAGGTGAGTGAAGCTCCTCTGAGTTGAGTCTTATTTTCTTCCATCTTTGTAGTGTCTTTGAATAATATGAAGGCCATGAATCGCAATATTCAGTCCTGGATCTACAGCCGTCCGTCCATGTGAGCAAATCGCTTTCTCAAGGCGGGCTTCCCTGAGGTTTCTCATCTTTTCCAACGGGGTTTTATAGTTTTTCCTTGCCGATGTTGGAAGGTCTGTAAGACTGTTAAAGGGTCTAAGGAACAGGACTGTGGTGATCCAGGACACTCAACATTCAACGACATTTACGGAATCGGTCTCTGCTTCTTATGGACCAATGGCTCTATGTGTTTTCTATCATTGCATTTCTTGTGTTTGAGCTGTTTGATTCTCTGATCTGTGTTCCAAAAGTCTTCCGAGATAACTATACTGTTGTGAATGACTACATTTAATTGAATATATCGCAGAATTAAATCTTACTTGATGCCCAAATATTTTAATACTATCCATTTATCCATTTTCTTCTTCTTAATCGCAATCAGAGCTGCACCCAATTTACAGAGCACCAGCCCCTCACTGATCCTCCCGCAGCCTTGATCTTTCAGCAGGGGCTTCAGGCAAAGTGGGGTAAAGTGTCTTGCCCATGGATACAACCACAGCAGACATCAGTGGGAATCCTTCAGGCCCAAAGACCGATGCTCTACCAACTGAACCACTGTCGCTCCACTGCAATACTATCGAATTGTCATTTTTGCCCATACCCACCCCTATAGCTTACTGTCTTAAAATATACCATAAATACATTTCCGTCTTCCTTCCATCAGTTCATCAGCTCTTGCTTGTCTCCTCTCTGTGCTGGTGTGTGATGTCACATGTTCCCCTCCTCCTGCAGGTGAACAGAGCTGCTGTGAGGATGCTGTCTGGGAGGATCCCCTGGTGTGTGTGTGCGTCTGTGCTGGTGCTCGCCCTGGTGGCTGCTCCGTCCCGGGCTCAGGAGGAGGGTGAGTCCAACACACAAACTCAGACAGAGCTGCTGAGAGGTCTTTTCTGCCTCATTAACCCGGTATTTATTCTGAGCTTTTGAGTTTCTGCTCTGGCTGAGAGAGAGAGACAAACGAGAAAGAGACCAGAAAGAGAAAGACAAAAAAGAGAGACCTGAAAGAGACCAGAGAGAGACCTGAGAGAGACCTGAGAAAGAGAGAGACTAGAGAGAGACCAGAGAGAGACCTGAGAGAGACCAGAGAGAGACCAGAGAGAGACCAGAGAGAGACCTGAGAGAGACCTGAGAGAGACCAGAGAGAGACCAGAGAGAGACCAGAGAGAGACCTGAGAGAGACCTGAGAGAGACCTGAGAGAGACCTGAGAGAGACCAGAGAGAGACCTGAGAGAGACCTGAGAGAGACCTGAGAGAGACCTGAGAGAGACCTGAGAGAGACCAGAGAGAGACCTGAGAGAGACCAGAGAGAGACCAGAGAGAGAGACCAGAGAGAGACCAGAGAGAGACCAGAGAGAGACCAGAGAGAGACCAGAGAGAGACCAGAGAGAGACCAGAGAGAGACCAGAGAGAGACCAGAGAGAGACCTGAGAGAGACCTGAGAGAGACCAGAGAGAGACCTGAGAGAGACCAGCGAGAGACCAGCGAGAGGCCAGAGAGAGACCAGAGAGAGACCAGAGAGAGGCCAGAGAGAGACCAGAGAGACTAGAGAGAGACCAGAGAGAGACCAGAGAGAGACCAGAGAGATACCTGAGAGAGACCAGAGAGAGAGACCAGAGAGTGACCAGAGAGAGACCAGAGAGAGACCAGAGAGAGACCAGAGAGAGACTAGAGAGAGACCAGAGAGATACCAGAGAGAGACCAGAGAGAGACCAGAGAGAGACCAGAGAGAGACCTGAGAGAGACCTGAGAGAGACCAGAGAGAGACCTGAGAGAGACCTGAGAGAGACCAGAGAGAGACCAGAGAGAGACCTGAGAGAGACCTGAGAGATACCAGAGAGAGACCAGAGAGAGACCAGAGAGAGACCTGAGAGAGACCAGAGAGAGACCTGAGAGAGACCAGAGAGAGACCAGAGAGAGACCAGAGAGAGACCAGAGAGAGACTAGAGAGAGACCAGAGAGATACCAGAGAGATACCAGAGAGAGACCAGAGAGAGACCAGAGAGAGACCAGAGAGAGACCAGAGAGAGACCTGAGAGAGACCAGAGAGAGACCAGAGAGAGACCAGAGAGAGACTAGAGAGAGACTAGAGAGAGACTAGAGAGAGACTAGAGAGAGACCAGAGAGAGACCAGAGAGAGACCAGAGAGAGACCAGAGAGAGACCAGAGAGAGACCAGAGAGAGACCAGAGAGAGACCAGAGAGATACCAGAGAGAGACCAGAGAGAGACCAGAGAGAGACCAGAGAGAGACCAGAGAGAGACCAGAGAGAGACCAGAGAGAGACCAGAGAGAGACCAGAGAGAGACCAGAGAGAGACCAGAGAGAGACCTGAGAGAGACCAGAGAGAGACCAGAGAGAGACCAGAGAGAGACCAGAGAGAGACTAGAGAGAGACCAGAGAGAGACCTGAGAGAGACCTGAGAGAGACCAGAGAGAGACCAGAGAGAGACCAGAGAGAGACCAGAGAGAGACTAGAGAGAGACCAGAGAGAGACCAGAGAGAGACCAGAGAGAGACCTGAGAGAGACCAGAGAGAGACCTGAGAGAGACCAGAGAGAGACCAGAGAGAGACCAGAGAGAGACTAGAGAGAGACTAGAGAGAGACCAGAGAGAGACCTGAGAGAGACCTGAGAGAGACCTGAGAGAGACCAGAGAGAGACCAGAGAGAGACCAGAGAGAGACTAGAGAGAGACCAGAGAGATACCAGAGAGAGACCAGAGAGAGACCAGAGAGAGACCTGAGAGAGACCAGAGAGAGACCTGAGAGAGACCAGAGAGAGACCAGAGAGAGACTAGAGAGAGACTAGAGAGAGACCAGAGAGAGACCTGAGAGAGACCTGAGAGAGACCAGAGAGAGACCAGAGAGAGACCAGAGAGAGACCAGAGAGAGACTAGAGAGAGACCAGAGAGATACCAGAGAGAGACCAGAGAGAGACCAGAGAGAGACCTGAGAGAGACCAGAGAGAGACCTGAGAGAGACCAGAGAGAGACCAGAGAGAGAC